ATCTAATTGTTGTTCTCCTCACGACAAGTGGCGTGCATGCTGACAGATGATTGACGGTACCGCTTGGGCGATTAATCGAAGCGAGGACACAGAATGGTTTTGAGTCTTTGAAGTTTGGGGAAGATTGCGCAGACAGTTTGCAGTGCTTGAACCAGCGAGAGCCACGAGTCTCATGAATAAGATCCTTTCTTTCAAGCTGACAAGTGATCAACTGGAGAATGATCTAACCAGTTCCATCATCTTGAAGTATCGCCATAAGGCGATTGGCATGTCGCTGGATAATGACCTCCTGATCACACTGTTCATGTAGAAGAAACCGACTGGTCCAATGCAGCAGCGCAGCAGCACGCGCGTTTGTAATAGACATAACAAGACATTCAGTGAAGTCATGGAGGTTATGTCTAGCTATCCCAATACTGAAGGAAAGAGAGAAAGATGCAAAGGAATGAGAGCACAAAGAAAGATAATCAAAGGACATTCAATTCGACAAGCTTGGTTTGTTTGTGGTGACATGAGACCGATGATGATAACCAACAGCTCCAATATGGCTTCTAGCTCCCAAGCCAATGGGTCGCAGGAAGCCACCAAGAGTGAACCGCCGCAGAACGTTTCAGCTGTGACTGTCGAGGCAGAGGATCTCAATGCACCCCGATCGAGCGTCCGAGGTGCGAAGCCTGGGATAATGCCGAATCTGAATCTGTTCCATGCATTGAGCATGATTTCGATCGGCGCATGGAGTGCCGGAGTGCCGTCGGCTCCTCCGAAAAAACTGCCGGAGATTGATCCTGTGAAGTTGATGACAGCTTGATTGAGTTTCGGGGGCAAGCTTGGTTGGATTTGCAGGGTAGGAAAATTGTGCAGCCATGTAGCAATGGTCATTCCAGGAGTGTGCAGTCCTACGTGTGCACTGGGATGCCGTTTCCACTGGTCAGTGTTGTAGATTGTTGTTGTTTGGACCCTAGGGGCCTGAGAAAGGGCATAAACAATGCTCGTGGGTACACGTATGGCGCCTGGGAAATCTGAAATTGATCCGACATGTCCAGACGGAGAAAGGGAACTTAGGAAATGCTCGATCTTCGAGTCGAGGCTTCCAAGACTTAACTTTGCCAGCACAAATGTCCCGATTGACTGGCGAAGGAGTGACATACAAAATGCACGATGAGTGATCGACTATCATCGTCAGGGATTGGAATTTCTTGGTTTTTTCAAGCACCCGCCCCAGCCACCCGAAAGAATGGAAAGGCGGAGTGGGGTTTTAATTGCGCCAGAAGCCGCACTTGCGGCATGTGACAAAGAGTGAGCCCAGACATTATTTGCCTTTCGCAGATTGGCAAGCTTGAGCCTAAGACAGCGTTGTGCGCGCCAAACTATCTGGGAGCAACAACGAAGAATTAACCAACTGGTTGACTTTCCTGGTTAAGACCTTTGACAACGATTTGTGTGCGAAGCTATGAACTTTTCTGACGCTTCCCCAGCTCTCCGGGGTCTTCGCCGGTCTAATTGTTTTCGGCTTTGCTGCTGATTACCGCTCGCTTGCCGGTGCGAGTAGTCGCACTTTTTGGGCATGTTCCGCCAGTCGCTGCCATGTGCAGACACCGGACTTCCCTTTTTGGCCATCTGTGTCACGAAACTCGTGCCTAGAATCCTAGAAGTAGCCGAGCCAATGTCAGGAGATCGTGGCTTTGAGCGGTGCCCATGGCTTGGGCGCCTGCCATACAGATCGCAGCGGCTACTGGGGACCTTGGACACGCGCACCCACCACTGTCAGTGCCTGGGCCAAGCCAGGTCACAATCAGTGCTAACATAAACGACAGAGGCCTCTGTCGTCGAGATTTGTGAAACTTTGTCAAGGGCTCCGTTTCCTTTCAAGTCAACCTAGTGAAGCCCAACGACGCACAATTCAGAGCCGGGCCTGATGTAACTTGAAAACAGATCCGTTTCAGAAGGTTAGACACGTGTGCTGGTGGGTGGGGGTGGTGCAGGTGCTGAGGGGTCGGTGGGCGGATTCCATTTGGTTCCACTTTCCTCAGTGACGGCCTTGTGGCGCAATGCTTCGATCACCAGAGCGTCACTCTCCGCTAAAGAGCGGTTGCACGTGAGCCTTTCAGATACGAGGCAACGAGTACTTCCGCGAGCTACTGGAGAATGCCTGGTGCTTCGGCCTCCAACTGACTGAAACTGATTTCGACCTGCAGCAAATCTGACACAAAGGGCTCAGTGCAATCCAAGGACGGTTAAGACCACTCACAAGGGAAAGCCCTGGAAAGGCCCATTGCAGTTCGAAGATCCAACAGGCGTGGTCAGTTCGACAGCAATCGTAAGATTAGCACGGCGAGCGGGCCAGCAGTTTTCATATCTGATTTCTGGCCAGGTGATTTGATGATGCTCCCATCTGACATAGTGCTCATTCAGGACAGCAATCCCATCTTGCGGCCTTCCCGGAATGCATACGACAAAGAGTGGATGTGTGCTGGCATTCACCAAGTCCGTTGCTTCAGCAAAGAAGCTCCACTCCTTGCCTTGTAATGCGACTCAGCGGAGGACCGAGAGTTTCGGAAATACGTCGAAATCTATGCAAAGGCGAGCCGATAGCTTTAGAAACGGGCAGAAGGAGGCATGCCGGACGCCCATGAGGATCATTCGCTTTGCTGTTCCTGGAAGGATGATGCACGCTTCCAGAAGGACTTCGCACAGGTGGTTGGAAAGCTCTTTGGGCCGGGGGCTTGAGATGGCTGACACGTACAGTCTGACAACTTTTCATTGTCTGCCCTTGTCGAGGTTGGGCCACGGGGAGTCCAAGAAGTTTGGCCTCTTCTAACTTGGAAAGATGAAGATTTTGAGTCGCCGGCTTCAAGTTCGCGAGTCGTAACGTTTTGCTGTATTGCTGTGGCTTCTTGCGCTTCCAAGGCGTATACGGCCGCGTCGGACATGCCTCGCCCTGCGCTGTGCGGCCTCAGCCTGCCGGAGAATCCCGGAATTAGCCGATCAATTTCAAGTATCCATACAGCCACAGAGCTGCACAGACACAGCCAGCACAGATCTCCTGCGAAAACAGCGCTGCAAGCAATGGAAACGGTCTTTTGGGTGCCCCCCCGAGCGCCGTGAGCTCATGTTCCCTTCTCCCTAACACAGCGGACAAAACTAAGAGAAATTGATCCCTGCCGTCATCCATACAACCATATATCATTTGTCTCAGTGTGAAGGACCTGCAAGGTCAGGTTGCCACCTCTGTCACAACACATGTTCGAGGGGCAACGACGGAACACCTTGGTGTTGGAAGTTGGAAAGTGTCCCCTATAAGAACCAGCAGGGAGTCAGGTGAGTCAGCCTGACGTCCACAGTTTTCCAACATGCCACCGCCATAGTCCAGACTGCAAACCAGTACTGCTTGATCTTCATTCCCGCAACTGTCAGATTTTGATTCCACGCTTGGCGGGACTTGTGGGAAAATCTTGTCTGAATGAGCCGCAGCCGTTTCCAGTGAGCCCAGCCCTCTGCAAGCCAAGCCTCTCTCGCACCATGTTCGCACGTGCGATGCGCCCAGGCTGATGTGCACTTGATGTCTGCCACTGTGTAGATGAGTGCTAGTAGCTATGTATTCGCCGACATTGCACAGACTAGCGCTCCCTGGAAGACCAGAGAGTCCGTGGTGTGTTTTCGTCTCAACGGAGCAAAACTTCCCACGCATTACGTTGCCGTCTTCAAGTGGCATGTGTTACATGACTGAAAACATGACGGGAAGTGAAGCAAGATTGTTGGCCGTTGGCAACAATCATAGGTTCTATGCAGTGGACGCGAGAACCTCATACTTTCGGCGGTTCCTTTCGAAACCTGAACGCCCTACGCTAGAAACTCTTGCAAAACGGGACAATCAGATTGGCTCGACCTCAGCCGGACGGCTTGTTCATCCGTATTTCTGTGAGAAAGTTGCGCAGGAAGCTGGCCACCATGAGCTTGCAGGAGTTCTCGGTTGCAACAACTTTTGCGATACATCCAGCTATTGAGTTCACAAGACTTCTCCTCGCGATGGTTTTTTTACGGGGACCCTTGGCCCGCGCAGTTTTGCTAGGAAGGTTGCTCCAAAGTTCTTCATTGCTCATTGAAATAGAACACAAGGGCGCGTCTCCAAAATCCAGCCCGGTCGGCCATGACCGCAGAGTCACCCTGTGTAGACTCAGTCCGTACACAATCTTCCTTCGTGTGGCACGGCGGGTGCACCCATATACATAGCCAAGCTTTGTTCTACACTGCACGCCGTCAAGTTGTGGAGAGCTGGACTGGCAAGCGGTTAACAATGGGGTCGTAGCGGTCGCCACGGAACACAAAATCCAACGGTGTTTGACATGTAGCCAAACTCCATGGCCAAAAAGCAAACCAAGTACCACTGTCAGTCGGTGAGCCAAAGGTTCCATTCCTCGACATCCTCAGAGCACGAGTGCCCCCATCCAAAATGGCAAGATTCTTTTGCGCGATATGCTGTGCTTCACACACACACAAGCAAACCACACACAGACAGACACAAACACACACACACACGCACGCAGACACACACACACACACATACGTACCACCCGCATACTTGCGTGCACGACGACAGACCCTAAAAAAAAGCTTCCTGCCCCGGACGCCTGCTGACATAACGTGCTATTGCCTAGCCGCCAGCAGATGGCCGGGGCCATTGGTCTGGGCGTACCGTACGATGTGAAATACTGTAGTGATCGCATCATCGGTGCGTCATATCAACAGCTCGAGAACGCACCTTTGAGTTCTGCGGTTTGGTTTCCTGCTGTTTTTGGGACGTGTGTGAAATCCCCGCTGCAATCCGGGTCCCAAGGCCTGCGCGACTCCACAACCGCACAGGTGCAGCAAGCAAAGCAGAAAGGTGGCATTCAACAAGGGACATGTTTGCCCACAAGTCATACCTGGCACACCTTGTCAAGCTGTGGCTCGGTAAACCCTGCCCCTGAAACGGGTAGTGAGTTCGTATGCGGCGGTGGCAGGCTATCTGGCTTTGTCCCGCTTCGCGAAGCTACAAGCGAAGGTCGCTTTGTGGCGCTTCTGCACATGTTGAAGCGCGTTTGGAGAGTTTGAACTCCAGGTGCCAAGCAGGGCTGCGCTGGCATTGAGCGCCGGGGCCTTCGGAGCCGGTGCTCTCACCGCCAAAAGCTGGGTGCAACCCGTCGGGTCCCTCGGCTCTGCCCCGTGCTATCCAACAGCTCGTGCTTCGCTATGCGGCTGCCACTGGATGTCAAGACCTATGGTGTTCAAATGTTTCCAAAGACCATGCAGAGTGTATCAGTCCCGGACTTGCGACGCGCTGGTCGAAATTGAGGTGCGAGGGGTCGAATTGGGACGAGATTCGAAAAGAGATCGTCAAGATTCTCGATGATGACACGTACAAGGAGACTTGCCTGCAATACAGTCTTCCACACGAGACGAAACTCAATCCCTCATGGTCAAGCAAGGGGTGCCCAGGCACTTGGGCAAAGTATTTTTCCTGAATTCCGAATTAGGCGATATAGCCCTATCTTTCAGCCATCCGTATTTCATACGAGATTATATTCCATGTGACACCCGGTCCCGATTATTTTCTGAATCCAAAAGCTACACACACATTTGGTCCCCTGCCCAAGACTGATATGTCTTCTCTATCAAAAATGATATCGATCAGAAATGTTTGCATTTATATTGCAAGCGAACCACCCGGCTTTAGTTCATTATAAAAGATTGAATATTATTATAGAAATTTTGATTCTTGTTGTAGATGTTTGATTCCAATGTCTAGTTTCTATAGATTTTTTTGATTCTTGTAAAAGAAATCCTACGGTGACGCTTTTTAAATATGTGGAGGGCGGCCCAGGCCCAAGGATGACAGAGGTAGTGTAAATGACCTGTTTAAATCCCAAAGTTCAAATATTTACTGCCCTCCTTCACTCCAAGCCCTCCAGCCTTCCGGCCCT